GTACTTCCAAAGACAGGTGAAAGGTTACCAGGAAAACTGAAAAGAAAGATACCAACACATTCCCATATCATCCGTCCTACGCCAGCTATTGAACCCCAACGAAACCTATCGATGGAGAATCAGTTTAACCGACATCATGGGGCACAAAGACGATTGTTCATGGTGGGACAAAAAGTACTTGCTATGGACTATCGTGGGAAACAACCTACATGGACAGCTGGTCGGATCTTGAAAAAGAAGGGGAGTGTGGTTTACGAGGTGTCAGTTGGCTCGGAAGTTTGGGTACGTCATGCTAACCAATTGAAAGCAACTTCGATAGCCAGCAACAAAATTCAATATCGATTACCTCTGGATGTTCTGCTAGACACCTTCGAAATCAAAACGCCGGGAATAGACACGTCAGTTTCTAAGCAAGAAAAGAGTGATACTTCTCTATTGCCCAGACGATGGACTAATCGAAAGCACAGGCCAGTCCCTCGGTTGCAGTTGGACCCTAGCACCAGATCCTACGAATCTGCTCAAAGGGGAGGTGTTAGCGGGACATAGACTAGATTAAAGCATGCTCAATACATGATTGCTTTGGTGCACGCTGATTGGCTAATTCTTATCCAATCAGCACTAGTCGATTGTTGGAGAATACTCTGGAATCTTCTTATGTAAAAACTATAAATATACTGACGTTTTCCCTATTGTGCTTCTGGCTTGCATCTTGCTTCCATCTAACCTTGTTATTTGGAATATAACCTCTTTCCTGTTCAACCGTGTTCTGATTTGGGGTCTTTGTCGAGTGAATCGGTGTCGAAGAATACTAAGCAATAGGAATAGCTGGGTTATACTGTAAGAAAGAGATTATAACAGAGAGCGATAAGACTAAAAGCAACAAACCCAAGGTCCGAAGGCGATGTCGTACTGCTGACTGTACAGAGGTGTGGCAGCAGTAAGGTGTTTCCTTCAGACAAACAGCATGACATCGATGCTGCCTTCCTACAAGGAGGGGTGGGGTTAGAAAAGGTCGACCCTAAAAATGCACACCTCGCCTTATCCCACGGATATCCGTTTCTGGCGGTAAGGTCGGTAAGTACGGAGCTAACACAAAAATTGCCCATAAAAAGGTCGTGTGTGACCGACCTCAAGCAGTTGTCCCTTGGGCACTGCGGTCACGCTCCCTGGTCACTAAGACCACTTGTAATCCGATTTCCTTTTCAGGTACCTCCAGAAGAACCCTTCCACGGTGTGGGCAACCGGGAAGTGATAACCGCCCTCATACCTCTAACAGCACTCAGGACCACTGGATTCATAATCAACCTCCCTCTTCAATTCCTATTATTCCTCCTACATCAACTTCAAACTCTAAACTTCTTTTTTCGGCTTCCCCCTCAAGTGTCACCATAGCCAACGATTCTAGTGCTCAAAACACTGTCCTAGGTCTACTGAAACCTCGCTCCACACTACACATTGGAGCCTTCAATGTACGCACCCTATGTCAAATCGATCAGCAGGCTTCCTTGGCTAAAACCATAGAATCTCGTACCATTGATGTATGCTATGTCTCCGAAACACGCATACAGGATCCCAGTGTGGTCATTGACTTGACCTCACCTCGGCAAAACAGAGAGCCAACGAGATACACCCTCCGTGTATCTGGTGACCCGATGGCCAGCTCTCGTGGACTGGCAGGAGTAGGGATAGCACTAAACATGAGGGCTGAACAAGCACTGTTAGAGTGGATCCCCGTCAACAGTTGTCTATGTTCTGTCCGGCTAAACGGCTCCGTAAGAACTCGGAAGGATAGGGACACACGTCGTTGCCTTTTTGTCGTTTCTGCCTACGCTCCCACCGACTACAGCTCAGATGAAATGAAAAATGAATTTTACAGAAAGCTATCTGAACTTCTTCAGAAAGCTAAACGTTCAGACATAGTACTCGTAGCAGGTGACTTTAATGCCCAGATAGGTAGTCTAAACCAAACAGAAAGGCATTTAGGTGGGTATTAAAGTATACCGACACAGCGAACAGATAATGGTGACCGTCTGCTGCAACTGTGCTCAGACAATCGCTTATTTTTAGCAAACACAAATTTTAAGCATAAGCAGAGACATCGTCTAACATGGCGACCCCCTACACCAAACCAACGATGGACTCAAATAGACCATATTGCCATCAGTCATCGTTGGAGAGAGTCGGTAGAAGATTGTCGCTCATTCTGGAGTACCTGCTTGAACTCCGACCATGCCCTAATACGGGCACGCATCTGCTTGCGCCTCACTGGATGCAAAAAAGCCACATTAAAAAGACCCATTAGAACTGAGTTGAGTAACGAGAAAACCAAAAGTAAGTTCCAGGAACAACTGAGGTCATACTTAGGTAGTTCTGAAAACGAGGTTGACCCAGATGTTGCTTGGAAAGATATAAAAACAGCTGTCGAAACAGCAATGAAATCTATTAGTGACTTAAACCACAGAGTTACAAAGAACCAGTGGATTTCTTCAAAGTCTATCACACTGATGGATTCTCGCAAACTCGTCCCATCAGGTTCCGAACATGATGAAGAGCGACAACAAATCAGATCTAGGTTAAGAAAATGTCTAAGAAACGACCGTGAGTAGTGGTGGGCAACGAAAGCAAAAGAGATGGAAAAGGCGGCGGCTATAGGGAATACAAGACAGCTCTACAGACTAATAAAAGAAACTGGAACTAATAATTCAAGTGTAAGTGAGATTATTTCGGAAAAGGACGATACTCTCATCTACTCCCAGTCCAGACGTTTAGAACGATGGGCGGAACACTTTAGGGAACAGTTCAGCTGGCCTTCAGCGACTCTACAACTACCGTCCATTCCCAGACTGTGAATGGAACATTGAAGTAGGTCCCCCTACTCTAGCAGAAGTTCAAAAGGCTATAGTTAATCTGAAACGAGGAAGTGCAGCTAGTCCAGATGGGTTGGCTTCAGAAGTTTTTAAGGATGGTGGTCCAATTTTAGCGGTTAGGTTGACTAATATTTTAGCTAAGATCTGGGAGTCAGATGTTATTCCATCTGACTGGTCGCAATCACTTATCGTTCCAATATACAAGAAAGGATCAAAACCATCTTGTGACAACCACAGAGGGATTAGTTTAACAAATATAGTATCTAAAATACTAGCCTCAATAATAATCAGACGCCTAACTAAGACTCGTAAACTGCAAACACGAGAAAACCAAGCTGGCTTCAGACCTGGTTGTGGCTGCATCGACCACATATTCACCGTTTGTCAGGTTCTAGAACACAGGCATACTTATCGACTTCCAACAATGGTGGTCTTTCTTGACTTAAACGCAGCATTTGACTCAGTAGACCGCGAGATTCTGTGGCAGTGTCTGTCATTGGAAGGCGTATCTCAGAAGTACATAAACCTTGTAAAGGCTCTTTACTCTAACACTACTAGTCGAGTGAGAGCTTATGGCGAACTGTCATCTAGTTTTGCAACCTCAAGTGGTGTCCGTCAAGGCTGTCCACTTTCTCCATTTCTGTTTAACTTCATCATAGACCTACTGATGGAAATAACATTCTCGTCGACTGAATTCTCGGGTATTGATCTCCTTCCAGGAGATCCACTTATCGACTTAGAATACGCAGATGACATAGTCCTGCTCGGTGAAGACGCTGATAAAATGCAGAGTCTTTTGGTAGCACTAAGCAACAATGCCAGAATGTTTGGAATGCGCTTCTCTCCCTCTAAATGCAAGTTGTTGCTTCAGGACTGGTCTGCGTCAACACCTTAACTAAGGATAGGGAGCGAAGTGGTTAAACGCGTTGACAACTTCACTTATCTTGGAAGTCTGATCAGCCCTAATGGGTTGGTATCGGACGAAATCTCAGCACGGATTCGAAAAGCTCGTTTGGCTTTTGCCAACTTACGTCACTTATGGAGAAGGCGAGATATCCGTCTATCAATAAAAGGACGAGTATACTGCGCGGCAGTCCGTTCTGTCTTACTTTACGGCAGCAAAACATGGCCTTTAAGAGTAGAAGACACTCGTAAGCTACTAGTATTTGACCACAGATGCCTTACAAATATTGCTGGCATGTGCTGGGATCACCGGGTAAGTAATAGTGAGGTTAGACTCAGGGTATTAGGTAATGATGGTAAATCAGTTGATGAGGTTGTTAATCTTCATCGACTGAGATGGTTGGGCCACGTGTTACGTATGCCTGAACACCGATTACCACGTCGTGCAATGCTAACGGGTGTTAGGGATGGTTGGAAGAGAATTAGGGGCGGCCAAACCAAAACGTGGCATCAGTGCTTGAAGTCACTAACTTCTAGTCTTAGCCATGTCTGTAGATGCAGACTACTTGGATGGGGTCCGCTTGACTTTCGTAACCGATGGTTGGAGACTCTTGGTGACATGGCTCAGAATCGATCACAATGGCGTCGGTGCATACACTCCCTGTCTTCCCTTAAACTAAGAGATTAAAATCGCTTCATATCTTTCTTTCTACGAACTAATTCTATATTCCGGTACTGTATCCTTATATGCAATCTTTCTCCTATATATTACCACCTTTAACCTAATCACTCCTATAAATCCGGTGTTCATCTTGCTGTGCTAATGAGGTATGGCAACCTGGACCGATGCATATATGTGCCTGGTCCTACGTTGTAGCTGACTGACTGACTACAATTGATCAGTTTCTTACTGGCATATGTGCATCGTGCGCGGATTACCTCGATATTGCCTTGAGCCACAAGCATTATAAACGAAGTTATATAGTGGCTAGTAGTGGGCTTTGAGTTGCACGTTCCGTCCTATTTGGAACTCGTCAGTTGCATGTACTTGGTGGTTATCGGGACTCGGTAGCTAAGTGAATAACGCGTTGGCGTTTGAGACGGACGGTGCTGGGTCCGAGTCCCTGAGCAAGCATCAACTCTGGGATGCAGTTAATTTTGTCGTTTTTATTTCTAGATTCAGAATAGCCATTTTATGTCCGGCCTTCATTTGCTTTGGTTTACTTATAGGTATGGAAAGACTTGATTCTCTACTTTGTCGATTAGAAAAAGTAACTATTCTTCTTGAAGCAGCTATCGTTAACAATATGTATCGGACATCACCAATTAAAATATCTTCAGGTAAATAAGATTTCCATAATTATTCCTTTATCTCAAGAAAGTGGAAATCCTTCATCAATCAAGGAATTTCATGAAATAGTCACTGGCCCTTTATCGGAATACGTACGTAATAGTTTCGAAATTGGAGATATTGTTGGAAATCACGTAGGTTTGATTCTGTATTAAATTACTTCCACGGGATTATTTTTTAAAAGGCCTCCATGGTTAAACAATGTTTTTTGATGCAAGAAGGAATAATCAAATTGGCAGCTGAATGCTCAAAACCTTCTGACTCTGAACTTAAGCTTATTATAACACCATTAGGAAATTTAATAGAAGAAGTTATCGTAATTTGTTAGTACTTCGTTAAATTGTTTTCCTTTATAGAAATTTAAGGATAATAATCGAAGCAGTAACTTTTTTAACCATCTTTCAGCTGTGGCCGAGTCTGTTACAGCTCTAGGCTGGCTAAGTGATGTAAGTTTTGTTTTTAAGCCTTTAAACTATTCAGACTGTTGCACCATCGACGTACGTTAAAACCATGCAAGAAGCCAGTGAATTCTTTACGAATCGTGTTCTTATGGAATACAAAAACAAGTTAGTTATTTATTAAGCAGTTTATAAATAAACTCACTATTTTTTGTATTGCGAAGAGGATTATCTTTAGAGTTTACTGCTATATATGTTTATAAATGTATATGTACCTAATTAATTTGCGTTCTGATGGTTTCGATAGACTCTATTCCTGCGAAGATTTCTAACACCAACTGATAAGGAACAGGTTGGTTGCCAATCGAACTAGTGAAGACCAACGGTGTGTTGTAATGTTTAATGAAAAGCAGTATGTTGCTCAGCCGTAGCGTTACTGATAACTAGTATTCCCTTCATTCTACTTCATGAATACCATTCGGTGACTTTCGAAGTGTTGTTTTAAACCATAGAACACACACTAATCAATTTAAAGATTCCGAATGTCATATATATTTTGCCACGAACGTTTTCATGTAATCTTTCCACTAATATCACAGTTATTTTTGAAGCCTATTGGAGAGAGTTCTGGCCCCAGCAATAAAATTGCACCGTGTAATCGATTCATAATAAAGCTAATCTGTTCCTTGTATAATGCTATAATTAACACGGTTAGATATGATGAACATGTGTGGTTTTTATTATGACATACATTGTTGTTTCTCACGGATAATAGTCACATTTAGATGGATCTAGTTCGTTAAATCATATCTGGGTTTTTTTACAAAACCGATGGGATGGCTTATTGGATTTTTTTTATTGTTTACGTCCAAATTTCAGTGAGTTTATTGATCCCTGTGGTATTTACACAATTCTTAAATTTTATTAAACTCGTAGCTAATAAAAATCCAGTGACTCAATCAGCTTTTACATACGTCAATCTGGTTTCAATGTGTTGGATTTATTTTACATACGCCATCTAATGTGTCTTGCATATTTAGCATAGTTGTTGATGACAAGGCTGGCTTAGACCAGCGGAACTATAGTCAGTCTGTTAGCGAAATTCAAGATTTTGAAAGTAAAAGTGATTAAATATTTTGACAATATATATTGAGTATGGTTGTGTTGGAGTTTTTTATACAGAGCCCAAAGTTGTGACGGATTACTCTTATCATCATTGGGCTATAATTTCTTCTGCAAAGAGAACTTTAAGATCTGAAGTTTCATCTCTCGTTTTCTTCAACAATTACTTGAAGCAATTTAGCACGTTACAGTTACTACTACGCTATAATACTGTTCAAATCCGTGAGAAATCAATTAAAAGACATTTTGCAATAAGATCAAAGTGCGGTAATCACGTATTATTAAAAATCAGATGCCCATAAGAGCTCATACTAATCTCGCTGAAAATCAAATGTATTGTTGAACAAATTCAACAGGTTTTAGAATTTATTTGAGACAATTCATGGTTATATGGTTTGTTTTTAAAGATATTGATATTGAAGATTTCTTATTTAATTTATTAACCTCCTTCATTTGTTCATTAAAAATGACCATAAATATTTTCGGTTATTTACTGTAGCGACACAATTCATCGTGCTTGGAAAAAATCTTTAATGTCTGTTTGGACTGCATTACAAGTTTATGTTAACAAACATCATACCACTGGTTTGGTTTGGAATGCTCGTGGTAAACCAGCTGTAGCATCGAAGCTGTCTAAGTCCTCGCCCACTCGTGAAGTTAATTCCAATTGTTCTGCACCATCGCCCCCTGTACTTACAGCTTCTCATTTAGCTGCAATGTCATTGGTGCGTGTGTGTGTGAATACGATGATCTTTTTGTTTCATGGAAATATGTCCATTATAAATTAGTTTGATAGATATTTTGTTCAGTAGTTTTTAGAATCTTTGGATTTTAAACATTCATGATTCTCATCAATGATTCGGTCGTCCACTCATTTAAACCACTAGACTTGGCCACATTACTCGTTCTGTTTCTCTTATGATATGCTAATATAGTTGTCAGCCAATTGTAACTATCCATTTATTTTGTCACTACCTTTTGCAATTTCATATCGCGTATTGGATCGAAGTGTTGCGTATTTATATGTATCAATTATCTATTCATAAAATGTTGCATTCATTTCATTTTGAAATCTTAATTGAAAGGATATACCTATCAAATACTTTCCAGCAGTTATTCTGACTTATAAGATTTATTTATATCTTTATTGCTGTAGTTCCCGTTCTAACACCAAAGATTTATGAAGTTAGTATCACCATCAATATCACCTAAATACATTAATATAAATCTAGTGGGAATGTTACTTGTTTTGGATAGGTTCAGTCAAATTGGGTTACATAGTTTGTTACAGACCATATTTTAGAGGATGATGCTCTATAGTCTTCTTAACATTTGTTGGTTGATGTTAGACATTAACACCATTGGATTTCAGCTCAGTGGTCCAGTAGGTTAAGCGTTCACGCGCGAAACTGGAGGCCCTGGGTTCGAATCCCGCAAGCGGGATTGTGGATATACACTGCTGAGGAGTCCCACAATGGAATGGAACGGCCGTCCAGTGCTTCCAGGTTTCCAACGGTGGTCTAACATCAGTCGGTTCATGATCTCAATCAAAAACAATCCTAATACCTTTATTGTTGCTTTACTGTGTTTCATATATCCTGCTAAGTGTGTTTAAAGTAGGTAATGAAATAAAATTACTTATAGTTAACTGGTCAAATGACAAGTGCATGTGATTGATTGTCCGTGAAACGACTTTCATTTTTCAGGAATGATAAGATATACAATATTCGATACTGATACCCAGTCTTCAGATATATATATATATATATATATATATATATATATATATATATATATATATATATATATATATATATATATATATATATATATATATATATATATATATATATATATAAGTACACATACATGTCAATTTAGCCAGTAAATAAAAGCTTTCTTCTCACTCGTTTAGCTCGTGTATCTGTAGCCTGAGTTTCAGTATCGAACATCTCACATCCTGCTAATAACTACATAAACACCCTATAGGACAGCATAGCATTGAGTGTATACTTTTGATTACTTCTTTTATAATTAACGCAGATTTGTCAAAAGAATGAATTTCATTGGTTATGTTCCAAAATATAGTGATCATTTACTTTTAAACAAAGCTTCTAAATACAATCAGGTCTGCCTTCCAAATTATACAGTTTATCAGGTCTAGAAACACGTTAGTATTCAGTGAGCCATTGTTCCTTTTACGATCACTGGCTCAAAACTTAATTAAATTGTGTGTTTGTCTCTTATTCATATGTGTGGTTGACTTCATGCTTATAGACTAGACTATATATGTTTATGTTTATGCATATTTCAAGTAGTCTTACGATAAATTTTCTAAGGTATCGTTTACTTCGTGTATAAATCTATCAAGACGATTGGATTTGGTAATTATTGATGTGCTTTATGTCGTTACTTAATAATTTTTTCCATACTCATAAATTTATAACTCAGGATAGGTTATCATTAATATTTCTCTGTTCAATTATTAATTAGCAAGCAAACGATAGTGCAATACAGTCTAATTTATTCGCTGATCTGAATCGTGGAACAGCGGTGACATCTAATCTGCGCAAAGTGACTGACGATATGAAAACACATAAAAATCCCAAACTTCGTGAAGGACCTATTATCCATACATCACGAAATCAAGTGAACTCATCATCGAATGACCCCACCGTTCGACCACCATCTGAGAAAGAGCCATCGGGGGCTGGATGTTTGGAGCTAAGGGGTAACAGATGGATTGTAGTACGTTTTATTTGTTAAAAATTTTATGTTATCTTTTTGATGTTCTGTACTTAAATCCTTTTCAATATGATTAATCTCATTATCAAAATGTAGTGTTGTAAAATTCTCTAACCGTTGAAACTTCATTATATGGAATAATATACTAACTTTTAGTACTTAGTAGTAAGAGCTCGAAGAGCTTACACACCAACTAGAGTCAAAATATTTGACTTAGTATGCAAACGAGGTTTACATTTGTCAAAATTAGACATTAATCATGAGTGATCAGTCAGTTATTTATATATTTGGACGTAGCACATATAACCTTTTGTTGTCTGATATTATTAATATGATTGGGGTTCATGAGAAATAATAATAACCTGAATTGTTTCATCTATACTAGTATTGTTGTCCTCATTTTTAAGATACAAATATTCTAAGGAAATCAATATTTAAAGTGTTTATTTGTGAAAAAAAAGCAAGTAGAGACGTATATAATACACTTATCAGTATTTGTATTCAAGAAACGATAATTTCTCACAGGAAAAATGAAAAGATATGAACACTTATGCCGTTATTACAGAAGATTCAATCAAGTATAGACGTGTTTTTGCATTGTAATTTGTTAACTAAAAATTAGCAGACCACTAATTTAAATATCACCTCATCTATTAATGTTTAGTGTAATAATAGTAATCCTCGCATAATAAATATTCATCTGTGTAAGATTGTGGAGATTGTTGAGTTTCATGTTAGACCACCATTGAAAACTTATAAGTATTGAATGGTCGTTTCGTCGTGTTGTGTGACTCCTCAGCAGTGCATATCCACAACTCCGCACGCGTGAATCAAGCCCAGCACCCTCTGTCTCGCGCATGAACGCTTAACCTTTAGACCACTGAGCCAACACTCAATGGGGTTAATGTCTAGCTTCAATCGATCCACAATATTGCATGACCATCTTCCATGACTAGTGGACTTCAATCGAGTCGAATGTGAGAGTGTTACCAACCGAAAACAATGGACATCGTGTTCACTACGGTACTTAAACATCCTGGATTCCATCCCATATTCCTCCTAGATACCTACTGTTAAGGATTCCCAAACTAAGGCTAGCTGTCCGGTGTTTTGTGATTCCGAATGACTCTCCGACGAATGTCTAGTTCGTAAACAAGTTTAACTTTCAAAAAGACAATTTCATTGTTGATCTGAATACTTTAGCCTATCTGTCGATAATTTTTTTTAAAAATGTGACTTGGTTAATTTTATTTCATACACCACAAATTAATTTCCACTAATTATAAGTGTCCATTGGGCTGTTGAAAAACGACCCCTTGATTGATTTTAATTATTGATTTCTTCAAAATAGAATTTTTCACGTATACCACTTTGAAACTGAATGGCTGTTCGTGTGTTTATCTATACTTGTGCACGTTTAGTGTATGTAATTGCATGGATAAAATCACTTTACACCTTTTATTCACTGTCCAACTTTGTAGAAATAGTTGTCTATCTATTTTTGGTTATTTCCTGACAGTATTATTATTTTCTGTTGGAATATAAGAAAGCATTAGTATTTACAACCTTCATACTAATGACTTATTTGTGATCATTCTTAGCCTGATGATATTATTTCATGTAGTTCAATTCGAATTTGTTTTTCAATTCAGTGTTTATACTCGTTAGATGGTGTGTACAGTATATGAAGATAATTCATGCATATAGCCATCCAAATGTTTCTTCACTATTTGACATTTTGTCGATTTTGTAGGTTTGTATTTGTATTTGTATATATATATATATATATATATATATATATATATATATATATATATATATATATATATATATATATATATATATACAGTCTATTTCGTATCTTTCTTTTTTACAATAACATTCATGTTTCGTCCGCTGTATCTTATTTTATACTTCTTAAACTCAGTTTCGAACTTCCACATGTCACGTATGGGAACCATAAATTTTTACTTCTATGAAGTTATAGTAGCTTAATAGCCTATCGGTTATTTGGCTTTTCGAAGTGGACAGTGTACTGTTTGATATGGTTTCACCGATGGCTTACCTACTTTTTGATGTGAAATACGGTATATGTAACGTTCTCACTCAGTTTGTTGGCGTAGAAACAGTTTGCAAAGAAAGCAAGTGACCCCCTAAACCAAGACATTTCATAAGTCCAATAAGTCACTGAGTGTTGGTACATAAGAAGCATGTTGGTAAATGAATACTACTTGGTTGCAGTCTACACAATTATCGCAACCAAATGTTGGGTGATGTAGATCAGGTTTGGTCATTATAGGCCAACTGCATTCACTTCTTGTATTCCCTTAAACCTTAAGTTTCAAAATTATTTTTTATTATTCATCCCTCAAATTCATTCATTCTCAAATTACAACTTGTCTGCCTAATTTTTTTACTATCACTGATACTACTTTTGTATTCATCGCGAGAATTTAATTTCGCTGTTCTGACGTGTTGTCGGGACTTAGGCTAATCCACATTTCTGTCAGGTTCTATGTTCCCTATCAGTCAGTGATAGAGAACAGCAAAGAATATATATACGTGTCTGTTTTAAAATATCTCCCTCATGTCACAATAACTAAAGTAACCCTGTATGTAACTAAAGATGATTCACAGGTTTTTTAGATTCACTATTTAGCAAATTTGTAGTAGACAACTGGCAATTGTGTAGATCATTCTTAAAGACACACTTCTTAAAGTAACAAGTTTTCACAAAGATTCATTTCAGTACCGGTGTCGAGAAATAGAATTATCTAAAATCTAAATTCTTTTTTACTAAGTGCGGTGCTCTTATAATTAATAGGTCAAAAGTTTGCGAAGCGACCTTCATTCTTAGTTGAATAGTCATTAACATTTGATTATAACTAGGCTATTTTTCCTAAGGACTCAACAGTTCACTCATACAATCATATGACTTTATTTAGAACCATCAAGGGTGTATCAGTATAGATTATTTTCCAACCTTAATTGAATCAGCATACAGCGATCAGCCTTAGTATTTAACCTGTTAAAGAAGTATTGAGTTGCTGTTTCATACACTACACTCCCTACTTCTAACCACAAGATTGCATATTGAAACACTTCTACGTACTTTGCTGTTAATAGTTGGAAAGTATTCTTGGGTCTCACAAATTCGTTTTTAATACAAATATAAGTAAACTTGCAGTGTATGAGATATCTAAATGTTGATATATACTTTTATATAACTTTAGTGATAGCATGTAGAGATAGTAATCAATTAAATATTGCATAACCAACTGTAAACTAATAACGAATAACGATATTCTATTTTTAAATAAAAGTACGTTGAATGGTTTTTAAATATGTAACTTGAGCAAGACTATATGTTTATTACTTAATATTGTAGTCAGTTTACGTCACGGGTTGATATTAAGGAGATCTGAATAACTGTTTTGTTCTAGATTGAGATTTATCATCAGTAGTGTGCACAGAAGTCCCAAAATAAGATCAAAGTCAGGACAGCCAAATTGTCGTATCGTACATAATATCTATAGAATAGGGAGTTAGAATCCATTGATGATCCATAATTAGTCAGTTTGCTATAATGCGCGACCATCATACAACACCATTGATGATATCTGTTTCTCTGTCTATATAGTTGAACTGCATTCGACTCACTGGTACCACGTCTCAAACCATAGATTAGTCGTTCAGTACCTCATGATTTTCAGGGACTCTCTAGTTTATATTAAACTATGGCGTAAGGTAGCTTTCAAACTGAGGAATCGTTGCAAATTCCGTATCTGTTTAAGAATAATTGGTTCATTGAACCCACTTTGTAACTACGAATTTTTTATACTGATTATTAGGAAGTGATACTAATAAGTTCTATACTTTTTGTTGTTATCGTTTTATTTTCTAGGAAAACTTTCAGTCTGCCGGAAATTTACAAATTGTTAGTACTGAAACAAAACAAACAGTTTGTATTCATAAATGTAACGAATGCACAGTTCAAATTAAGGGGAAAATTAATTCAATAATGATGGGTGAGTGATATTATTATCGATGATATATCAGTATGTTGTGTATATGAATGATTGTGTGTATATATGAATGTACCAAGCATGCAACTAATTTGTTATAAAGCTTTTAACTTGTTTTATTCTACACTACAAAAATAGAAAATGAATTTTACTAGATAAAGGCCGGTGTAAATTTCAGATTTGTTTATATATGTATATATTTTGAGATGAATTCAGTATTGAAATGCCTCTGTTTGCTAACTGAATTATTGTAGGAATGTAATATCTATTTTCTACCAGTGTTTTTGCCAAAACCTTAACGTCTTCTTATCACGTATTTATTTGTTTTTTGTCTACATTCTTTTGTTGACTTCCTTCTACAATGTTATAAATGACTTGTGATTTTAATATCTTTGTTATGCGAAATGGTGCATCATACCAGTTGATCAGTAGTTATATCACACCATATTATTCATGCTTCATTATACAATAGTTATAGTTATTATTCATTAATACGTTTGCAAACATAAGCTTCAAGTTCGATATGCCTTTTCTGATAGTTTGTTTATTTATAGAATCTGTGATGACAAAATTACTGACTTGCCTCAGTGTAAATAGTTCGACAAAATGAGTTTTTACCATTTTCATGGAATTTATGAAATTAAAAGTAGTAACTCTCCGTTTATGTATTCAATTTCTAACTACTGGGTTTCATGTTCGAACGCTTTGACACTTGCTTCAGTTGGGAAAATCTGGAGCTATCCAAAACATTTGGCTCTTATTCAGGTACACACTCATCCATTTCTTTGCACAGTTTTACACCAAGTTACATATGTTCTCGTGCTACTAGTATTTGACCACAGATGCCTTCGAAATATTGCTCGCATCCGCTGGGATCACCGGGTAAGTAATCGTGAGGTTAGACGCAGGGTATTAGGGAATGATGGTAAATCAGATGATGGGGTTGTAAATTTTCATAGACTGAGATGGTTGGGCCACGTGTCACGTATGCCCGAACACCGATTACCACGACGTGCAACGCTAACCAGTATTGGAGATGGTTGGAAGAAAGTTTGGGGCGGCTAAACCAAAACGTGGCATCAGTGCTTGAAGTCACTAACTTCTAGTCTTAGCCATGTCTGTAGATGCAGACTACTTGGATGGGGTCCGCGTGACTATCGTAAGGAGTGGTTGGAGACTTGGTGACATGGCTCAGAACCGATCACAATGGCGTGGGTGTATACACTCTCTGCCTTCCCTTAAACTGAGATATTAAACTCGCTCCATATCTTTCTTTCTACGAACTAATTATTTCTTGCTGTACTATATCTTTATATGCAATCTTTCTTTTATATATTACCACCTCTGAATTAACTACTTTTATGAATCCGATGTCTCTCTTGTTGTGTTATTGAGGTATGGCAACTTGGACCGATGCATGTATGTGCCTGATCCTGCGTTGTAACTGACTGACTTACTGACTCTTTACTTGATCACATAGAAGTAGATTGTAAGAAGACTATTGAGGATGTATCAAAAACATGACACCAATCCATCGTGTTGTTGGATGTTGGTCTGAGTTGTGTGGGCAGAAGCAGACTTCCTTCTTGGGATCCTCAAAATAATTATCATGTATGGTAAACCAGCTCAAAGTCGATTGTAGTAAGGCGACTCAATCCATATTTTGTATTTATCTGTATTATAAGTATCATTACTATCATTATTTCGACTCCTTGAAGTTTCACTGTGTCGATTTTATCTTTTTTGTGTATCACCTTAGTATTGACACTCATCTGTGTAATCTACAGTTTATTTCTAACTAGTTTTAACAAACATCTCATAACAATACATATTTATGTAATATCGGGACAATCTGGTTATTGGTGTAATTATTTGAAAAAATCCCGCATTTTGAGAAGTTTGTATAAAGGCCAAGAGACATTATTAACGTCAATGGTCAATAGTTTATTAGTCGCATGCAATCAGTTTAGAAATTTACTCTTAATTATTGTGTTAGAATGGATGAGTAACACAAATTAATATCAATAACTCATTTGGCTGATTGCAACATAAATTACAAAATACAGTGTAATGATGTAGAATAAATAGGTTCTTTATGTGTACTTAAGTAGATCGACTTTTATGCGTGAAGTTCAATATTATCATGTTTATGTTATATCATATTGTTTTGCTGAACAATTTACATTAATTCATTGATACTAACTGTTACTTGGTGTGAAATTGGTTTTAAATCCCTTATTATTGTTGAAAGAAATTGTTCATGTATGATTTATAACTGAATTGTTTTAAATAAAAAAGTATTAATCAAGTACTGATTATGTGTGTGTGCTTTTGGTTTTGTTCTATTTCATGAACTGAATGGTTTGGTTGTGAAGCATTCAGTAGAGCTACGAATCTTCCTCATCATTTCAAAGTTTGTGTGCATACGATTAATATAATGCAGCAGGAGAAAATAAGTACCTTATATCTTGATGGATGAACACCATTTTTTCCTAAACGCAGTATTAAATATGATGGTCGTGTTTACTAAGTCTGGGTATGAACTTTTGTTCACCACAACTCTTCTCTTTATTAGTATCGACATCTAATGTTCTGTCGTTTAAGAGAACTGCTACATTGGATTGACTTCTAAACTTCACATTTTTGTTGGATGACTCATCCTCAGTAGCTAATTGGTTTCAATTGTAATAAATCAGCTCTGGGGAAAGTTTCTGAAAGACAAATTCATTCCATTAAGAGACATTTTATGCACCAAAAGTTAATTCATATTTTCTTCTCGTATCTTATCTTTTATGCTTAATCTTTCCTACTACCAATATTAGTGCTACTGTAGTGGACGCTACTCACAAGATTGTTTGTAAGTAGTGTGTCTCAGAACGTGACGTCGAAGTTATCTCTATCAGACGGAGTGAGGAGTTTCAGTGCACAGAAATTAGTGTTGGCAGAACACTTATAGACCAGACGAGAAGATAGTTCAGATGGCAGAACACACCAACAGATGCAAACGGAAGATTGAAGGCTATGCATAATGTGTTTTATAAATACTTCACAACTCACAAAAATAAGTTCCTTCTGAAATTGTCGTGTTTTACACTACTACCTCTACTACTCTGAGTTTTACCCTGACGATTTCATCCCATTGTATCAATGGGATGTGACAACTTGAGCCGATACACACGTATCCCAGGTTCTACATTGTGTATGACTGATTGACAGCAAACGTTTTCGATGTACTGCTGTTCTCTCTTACGTAAACTTATTTCAAGTGTTGTCTTAAAATATATATATTGTAACGAATTATATTATTATTTTTACTGTTAATCCTGTAAAGTCAATTTGAAACAGATCATTTAAACAATTATAGATCATAAGAAGTTTTAACATTACTTGCTGACATTCATCAATAATTTAATAATCATTTGTATTTAGCCACATGTTTACATTTACAGTAAAATTGTCTATAATCTATACGTTCATTATGATATTAAATGTCTTACAGTTTTCAAATACATCACATATCATTTAATGTTAATATTTATATGAATTATTTAAGAGAATCTAATGTTAGTATTAAATTGTAAACCATAAAACGTGATTGTTAATGTTTTTTTTATTACCTGGAAAAGGATTTATGAAAAAAAATTTAGAACATTCACAATATACATCATGCATAAATGTAATAATATAATACGATTAATTCATTTTAATCAAGTAAGTTTGTGTTCATTTTGATAATCGATGGAATGAGTTATTAAGTTTATGAATGGCTTTTTTTTCAAGAGAAATAAAATTACTGTCATATGAATGAACTATTTCTGAGTTGTTATGTAGAGATGTATTTTGTATTCGTATATATCTGCTTTCCTGTACATTATGTATACTTTTATTGATTCTTTTATAGGAACTGTCAATTTGAATATTACTAATATTTCAATCATCATTTTACTTTTATCACGTTCTTGTTTGATGTGTTCTTATTATTTTCTGTTAGATAATTGTAAGAAAACCGGTGTAGTCTTCGATCATCTGATCTCATCTATTGATGTGGTGAATTGTCAGAGTGTTAAAATTCAGGTTAGTTTTTTAGTCTTGTGTTCAAATATGTATGTATGTGTTAAATTCTACAACTTGTATCAAAATTATGTAAATGCGTGTTTAATCACTGGATAGTAATAATTTACAGTTAATTTCTTCTATTGATCAGATAGTTTTAATCGTGAACAGAAACCAACTGAAAGTTGAAAAAATCATTAAAAAACCAATTGCTCATATGAAATTTTTCTGTTGATAATTAAGTTTATACCTGTTTAGTGGTAATATGGTAGTTCTTATTGCCTGCATTATACACAGATATATATATTCCTCATTCTTGTTAATTTCCGCAAAAATTTATTTCTGTTTAGTGTCTTGGACAACTATCAACCGTGAATATTGACAAGACAGATGGATGTCAAGTATTTTTAAGTGAAGACTCAAAGTATGCTGATGTGATCACAGCAAAATCTTCAGAGATCAATATCCTCATACCTAAAGGAACTGATGATTTTGTAAGTTTTTTTCTGTTTTTCGAAAAAAAATGTTTACTTTTTTTCTCGATAATATCAGACGATATTTAGTCATTGATAAGGCGAATATACGTGCATAAAATGCCATCTGTAAACAAACAATCACTAATTAAATTATCAGAAAAAAGACGATTTGGATGTTATAAAATAATAGTAGTGATAATATGCTAACCTTTTTCTGTGATTTAAGTACCACCTAGCTATCGGGGTATTTACCTATTATAGAACGTAAACCCATTCTGTTTCTTTGTTCATTATATAATATTAACAGTTCCTCAATTTCTACCTTTTTGAAAAATCACTTCATTTAATTTGCATTTAGTGTTTATTTTAATATTCAACCATATCATAAAAACGATTAATTACTTTAATAGTTTCATTTATTAATTTAATACTTTTCCAATGTACATAATCAAGTCTAGATTTTTGTTTCTTTAATCTACTATCAATGGTATTACTTACTTACTTACACCTGTTACTCCTCATGAAGTAGCATAGGTCCCAAGCCCGGGTAAAAGAGGAGGTTTGGGCATTGGGTTAGCGACACCAACCTGTAGAAAACTAACTTTCTATAAAAACGCTAAATATCAATAGTATACTTTTCAAATATTATATATAATACCTATTTGCCTCTTTTCTAATTATATACAATTCTTCTCAATGATAAATATGAATATAAAAGCAATACTAGTGAATGTAGCAAAATAATATAATGATGAATTCATTTATTTCTATATATTCTTTTTATATGCTTATAAATCAATGAATTTATTCATAAATTATTTAAAACTAATCTACATACCTATGACGTTATGATTTAATGAAGATTATTACTTTTTCTTTAAAAAAACAAAACTAAACTAACTAATATTAAATGTTGAAGAGTCAAACAAAATCATAATAGGTATTTAAATTGTTTATTCTTTCTATGTTAAATAATTTAAGGAATGTTATATTTTAATAATCTTTATTAATATGATGTAAAATATGTATATTAGTTTTAATTAATTATCATTATTGTTTCTATGCTGTAGGCAGATAAACAAAATTCATAAAATAATTAAATTCCTATTATTCTACCTAAATATGCTAATTAATATGAGTTTACAATATTTATCATTCCAAGTAACACTTTTATTATTGAACTAATCTTTACCGGTTTCTTTTTTTTAAATATCATTATAATTGATATTATTATAAAACTTCCTATTGTGTATGATTACTCTATGGTTCATTTCATGTTATTTCACTGTATATGTACATAATCTAGTTCTTAATGCTTCTAGTTTGCTGTTGATTTGAAGCTAATTAAATTTAAAGTGATATTTGCTTTACATGTATCGATTCAGTTTGACCGTCAAAGTAGCCCGTTAATAAATAATTTATCAACAAAGCAACAGTCTACAGTTCTCTATGTCATTATTATCATCAGCTATTACTTACTTACGCCTGTTACTCTTAATGCAGCATAGACCGCCGACCAGCATTCTCCAACCCACTCTGTCCTGGGCCTTCTTTTATAGTTCCATCCAATTCCTGTTCATTTTTCTCATGTCTATTTCCGTTTCCCGGCGTAACGTGTTCTTTGGTCTTCCTCTTTTCCTTTGGCCTTGAGAATTCCATGTGAGGGCTTGTCTTTGACTCAGTTGGATGCTTTCCTCAATGTGTCCTATCCACTTCCAGTGCTTCTTCCTGATTTCTTCCTCCGCTTGGATCTGGTTTGTTCTCTCCCACAGTAGGTTGTTGCTAATAGTGTCCGGCCTACGGATCTGAAGTATTTTGCGTAGACAACTGTTAATAAACACCTGTATTTTCTGTATGATGGCTTTCGTAGTTCTCCAGGTATCCGCCCCATACAGTAGAACTGTCTTGACATTTGTATTGAAAGTTTGGACCTTGGTGTTGGTTGACAGTTGTTTTGAGTTCCAGATGTTTTTCACTTGTAAATATGCTGCTCTTGCTTTGCCGATCCGCGCTTCCACATCTGCATCAGATCCACCCTGTTCATCAATGATGGTGCCCAAATATATAAAGGTTTTTACATCTTCCAAATCTTCTCCGTCAATTGTGACTGGATTGGTGCATGCTGTGCTGTATCGGAGAATCTTGCTTTTCCCTTTGTGTATATTGAGACCTACTGCTGCTGAGGCTGCTGCCACACTGTTCGTCTTCTCCTGCATTTGTTGTTGCGTTTGGGATAGAAGGGCCAGATCATCTGCGAAGTCTAGATCGTCCAATTGCATCCTAGATGTCCATTGTATCCCGTCGTTGCTAAATCCTCTACATATTTACATTTGTCAGTTCTGATGCTCCTCTTCACTTGCTTGTTTACTTCTGTATATTTAGCTTGTGCCTTGGCGTTTTCTGCTCTTTTTCGACTGGCATTGATTGTTGCTTCTTGTTCCTCCTTTCTTGAATCTTATCCAGTGTATCAACAGTGATCCATTCCTTGTGATGGTGCTTCTTGTGGCCCAGGACCTCATGGCATGTTGAAGTGATTGCTTCTTTGATCCCCTTCCAGTTGCTCTCCACAGTAGTTCCTTCTCCATTGAGTAGATCATGAAAGGCCTGGAACTTATTGCTGAGGGCTAACTTGAATTTGTTGAGTTTGTCAGTATCCTGAAGAAAGGCCGTATTGAACTTTTGTGATATTGTCCACCCCATTGTCCAGTGCTTCTTGAGTTTCAATTTCATCTTGGTGACCAGCAAGTGATGATCTGAGGCCATATCAGCTCCTCTCTTGGTTCTCACGTCCTCTATAGTCCTGAACGTTTTGTTGATGCAAATATGGTCGATTTGGTTTTGCGTGGTGTGATCCGGTGAAGTCCATGTGGTTTTGTGTATGCGTTTGTGTGGGAATATAGTGCCGTCTATGACCAGTTTATTGAAGGCACATAGGTTTGCGAATTTCTCACCATTTTCATTCCTTCCTTCCAGTCTATGTCGTCCCATGATGTCTTTATATCCGGTGTTGCCATAACTGTGAGTCGGCAGCAGATTAGAGGGGAGCGAATTATCGATCGGACCAAAGACGCACAAACACGTAGAACGACTTAGGGTTCTGATTGGCCCAGCTTCCCTGTCTAACCCAGCCAGTTGAGTCCAGAACTCAAGTCACAGCCTCGGATATATGAATCATTATATTTCAAACATACTTTGTTTATATACCAGTCAAGCAGACCACAACGTACCATAAAATAGAAAATAACATTGTACAATATTGACCAGTAGGAAAATGACACTTGAAAGAAGAACTGACCAATAAGTAAATAATACCATCTCCAAGTCCAAGAATAGCATTAGACTTAATAGGATAATTTCTGGGATATTTTCCTGAATATCCCAACAGGTGTTGTCCATTCCAACCTTGGTATTGAAGTCTCCCATCAGAATGGTCAGGTCCTTTGTTGGGCACTTCTCGATGATTGACTGCACCCTATCGTAGAATTGATCTTTAGCGTCTTCACTGTAGTCGTTGGTAGGCGCATAGCATTGGATGGCGTTCATTGTAATGCCCTCTTTGTTCTGAAGGAAGTTTTGATGATCCTTGGTCCATGAGATTCCCATCCTATAAGTGCATTTTGTGCTTGTTTGGATAACATCAATGCAACTCCTTGTGTTTGTGGAGCATTTTCTTCTTCATGGCCGGAGTATAACAGAAGCTCCCCTGAAGCTAGTCGTTGTTGTCCAACTTTCGTCCAATGTGTTTCACTGATCCCAAGCACCTCTAGGTTGTATCTCCTCATTTCTGCTGCAATTTGGAGGGTTCTCCCGGTGTCCCACATTGTACGAACATTTCATGTACCTAAATAAATGGTTGCTCTGGTTGTCAGAAGGGGCATCGGCCTCGTAACTTCCGAAGGGATTCGGCTTTCGTCATGAGGCGTTATAGTTTTTCTAAATTAAAACCTTCTGACTCCCGGGGCAGAGTTTAAAAGGTTTGGATAATTTTTTCGGGTTAGCGTTTTTTTAGCGAGTTAGTTTTCTACGGGATGGGGACGCTAACCCCATGCCAGACCCTCCTCCTTCATCCGGGCTTGGGACCGGCAGTAGCCACCGGAGTTATGATACATTTATTATTGGTTAAGTAGTTTACATCACAGAAACGTTTGATAGTCGGTGGGATTGGCGTGTTTCGGAAACTAATAATATCGTCTGTGTAGTCTTTTAGTATTAGATTAATCCGCTAATCAGATTTTTATAGTTCTGTTGTAGCAAATAAAAGTTCTATGTTTGTAACATTACATGAAAAATCTATTTATATCTGGTAAAAACGTACTCCATAACAATCTTAGTCTGTGGATTATTATTTAACGATATAAATGATAACTGTTGATAAATGTTTTTTTTCTTCAAGAATCTTGACCCCATTTTTTATGTGTGAAATTTCAGGAAGAGTTCGCAGTCCCAGAACAATTTAAAACAAATTTTACTGGAAAAGGATTAAAAACAGTGTGTAGTGATTCTAGATAAAAAATGTTACTTCAATGTTCGTCATACACACACGTCAACAATATTGAAAATTTTCATTTTAAACAGCCACTTTATCTTGCTTCATGTACTAGTACAACATTTTTGTTCAAGCGCAATAAAACACAGTGCTTTTCTTGATAGTTTAATTTGTTTGACTGTGTCAATCTTTGACTTTCAATATCAGGCACCTGTTGTTTTATCTCTTTTAATAGTATTTGCTTTTTTATTGCTTGTTTAAAATATACATGTGATGATTTTTACATCGATCTGTCTAATCCGTCATCATTATTGTGTGGTTAGTCTGTTTATTGTGCAATGCTAAGATGCAATTTCATAAGTAAAATATTAAATAACGTTAAGAATAATAATGACTTTGTTTATGGTAAACTACGAAAAATGATTTGGAAAAGTAAGAAAACACCATGTGATAGTGTTGTTGTTTTTTACCACAGAATAGGATATAAGCAATATACCTTTGTTTGAAACGTGATCTTCATTCAGAAAAAAATAATTGAATACGAGAAATGAAACAAGTTATTTTGGGCACTTTAGGTACACTAGGTAATGAATAAAAAGTTTCATAACCATATACTTAGGGTTTGTATAACAACTTATAGTTTGCTTTAAACGTTGTTTTGGAATGCTTTTTTGTAGCATCGTGTTATCAATACGACACCCACAACGATTGTTTTCCCCCACTTTGTAAAAGAATAGTGGGCATCGACGCGCACAGTATTGGTCTTTAAATGATTGTCTATTGTCTTGGATGTGCTGATTGCGGAGGTTGGTAGCTGCAAGTGATCGGGTTTCGTTGTTTTAAGATTAACAAAAAATTCATGGCCAGGAGTACTATCCAACGATCACTGTGTTTACATCATGCATATTTGTGCTCTGGCTTTAAGTGTTGACTGTAAAAGAGAAAACTATATGCTTCGATAGCGACGTCTGATATATTCACACAGAATCAGTTCTAAAAGGAACCTGGATAACAATGTTAATCCATTCACATCAACTAAAGAAAGCTTAAAACATCTCCCCAACAACAACCTTGCACTAAGTTTCACATTTGTACATGGTGGAATTATCTATGTGCACTCACTTTAAAATCCCAAACTACTGTTACACAGATATAATTTGTTACTACTTAATAAATATCACAATTCTGGCGTCAGTAAGCGGCATACTAGAAATCGCACCGAATAAACTAATGTGTTGTGTAGTTGGTACATTTCTCTATATTTTAGGGCACAAGCTGGTGTGTAGGTATTGTGAAGTTTTTTGTTTATTTAGACTGTAATTCAAGGTGGCGACTTCTGGTCGGGAGGTACACAATTTGAATAGAAGAAAATTAGGAGACACCATATCTAGAGTAAATTGTTTTGTCTGAACTGGATGGTTTAATCGTGTCTTTCAAGAAAATTCACCAGCACAAGCTTCACAAAAGTAGGTGACTTATGAAATCCTCGTTGACTATCAACACTTTATTCTATTAACATCGGATTAGATTAGTTCTCAAATGACAGTTTGTTACATGAGGCATGCCAGTTTACAGGCAAGATCAAATTGTTACAAATGATACAATTCCCACTAGAGTAAATTACTCGGCTGGGTTGATAATTTATAAGATGTGAATGTATATGGTTTTAGTCAGTATCACATTTGGCACGCCTCATGAAAGTTGCGTTGCGAATGTGCAACTGATGGTCAAGAGTAGGTCCATTGAAGGTGGGAGCTCCTCGAAACCCAACCTTATGTCCCTTCGGAATATCTAAGGCTTTAATGATGGTGCAGGATGAAGTCACCCGCTCCATATCTCAAGGGGGAGAGGCAGAGTAGCCAATATTCATGAAGGAATGTTCACAGTATGATTGCTCAGTCTAATTTTCTTTTATTAAGGTATTTGCTAAGCAAGAGTACTTTAATAGGTTAAGGGAAATAAGTGTTGACAAGGTATGGGTGGAAGACAAATGGAGGCGATTCAGAAAGGAGCTGAGAGTATGGGATTATGTGTGGTTATAAAATATAATGCTAAAAACAGTATTGTGATATACAATTGGCTATCTTCCTTTTTTATCGAAGCTGTTAGATCCCCTTTCATGTTTTTTGTACTATTTTTTTCAGGTATTATAGGGTCTTGAGTAGGCTTCGTATATTAGCGAATTGTCTAGTTTGCTTGGAGTTAATGGACATGATATGAAAATAAGTGAGCACAGTGCTCGTCAAATTAAATATAATATCTGAGCATTAGTTGTTATTAAGTATTAACCTGGTTAATACTAGGATTAGAGACTATGAGTATATAATAAATTGTAGATCTATTTAAGACTTAAGTCCGAAATAGGTACAATACGGACTGGTAATTGTCCGTCGAATAAAAAGAAGCATTTTCTTATTTTTCGGGGTAAGATGCACTCGATGTACAGGATGGGCTGATAATCACAGTGTAATACACCCTACAAAAGAGCAAGTCGAAGAATTCCTAAACCACGTGAAAACAATGTTACCACTTTCAAAGTTCGCGCCCTTACTTTGGTCGTCTCCAGCAGTTGTGCTGTCATTGTCTTCACATTTATTTTGACCCTCTTCACTTTTCACTGGATTATAAACACTATGGCTGTTCTTAACCTGCCTTATTGGTTGAAAAAAGGGTTTATTTTAGCATATTTACTCATTTTTGAGTGCTAAGGTTTTAAGACACTTCTGGTCTTTGTGTTGTCTTCGTTAGTGATTTTAATATTTCCTAGTCAAAATTCTGTTTCAAACTGGCCACATTTATTGGCATAGACAGGGCCGTGTTGTCATGCTCAAAATCAAGCTTGAAAACAGCACTAAACCCAGTTTGATACGTCTCACAATATGGAAAGAGCTCCTTGAATAACATTATCAGCTTATCCTCGACACATGACAACTCGCTCGTTCGAGACTAGTCTCTTGGTAACTATGGCTAACCGACTGGTAAATAACATGCCGAGCAATGGGAAATTGTCAAAAACCATTACTGTTTTAGAAAGCTGTCCTGAATAGTCCTCTTGCGTCTGGTTGCTATACAGGCATCTTGAACCGGAATCCAGCAACGAGGTAGATGTATGCTTACCAAGGAAACACTTCAGTTACCATGTAGCCAGTTAGTTTCCGGACTGCGTCGGTTGGAAAAAGCAGTTGACAGAGCCACATTTGTGGTCCAACAGTCTGTATAACCTAGTTATTACTCAATCCTGTTCCTCCTCTTATAGCATGAGTTGCTGACCAGGAATCTCTAATTGAATCTTTCTTCGGTTATCCTTCCCGCTTTTCGCAGTCTGATATTCGTAGTTTTGGTGTCTGCCTTAAAAACCCAACAGTATATGTTCGTATGTTTATTTGATTAGTTTTCGCCTTGAGGACTTCAAGGTGAGCATTGCCTCGTGATGCAGTTTGACGATTTCCATAATATATGTCCTATCCACTCCCAACGTCTTTTCGTAATATTCTCTTCAGTTGGACGCTAATTTGTCCTCTCCCGTAGTAGTTTACTGCTGGTGGTATTTGACCAACGGACATTAAGCATCTTCCGTAGAAAATTGTTAATAAATACTTATACCACTTTAATGACGGTTGTAGTAGTTTCCCACATTCCAGCTCCGTACAATAGGACTGTCGTGGCGTTCATATTAAAGCTTCTGACTGAAATTGGCTGACTGTTGTTTCTAGTTCCATATGTTCTTCAACTATAGGAATGCTATCCTTGCTTTGCCAATCCTTACATTCACATCTGCATCAGATTCTACTCATATATCAGCGATGCTATCCTGATACGTGACAGTTTCCACACTCTTCAGAGCTTCTCCATCAAGTGTGATTGAATTGTCGTACTTGAGGATTTCGTTTTTTCTTTTGTGAATGTTGAGGCCTACTGATGCATATTTTGCTACTACACTTGTTGTTTTCATATGCATTTGTTCGTGTGTTTGAGATAGAAGGGTCGGATCATCTGTGAAGTCGAAATCGTCTAGTTGATTCCGAACTGTCGATTGTACCCCGCGCTTCCCTCAGATGTCGAGTTCTTTGTAATCCAAGAAGTTATCAGGATAAAAAGGAAGGAAGAGAGTTAGCAGCCTTGCCTGACACTGCTTTTCATTTGGAATGCATCTGTCAGATGTTCTTCAAGCACTACGTTGCAGTGCGGTCCGTCGTACGAATTCCTTTTGATTTTAAATTTATTCTCAGGTACTCCGTAGTCCCGGAGAAAACTCCATAAGGTTCTGTCATACATTATCGAATGTCTTCTTATAGTAAATGAAGTTGATGTAAAGTGGTGATGTCCATTCAACTGATTGTCCAACGGTGATCCGTAGTGTCGATAGGTCCTTACGAAATCCGACTTATTGAAGTCAAAGTTGGGTATCTACTGAACCTTTAAGTCGGTTGAACAACACTATATATTTCTAGACTAAGTTTGTTCTCAATCATTTATTAATGATAGTTACGATGCGAAGAGTTGGTGTACGCAATGATGTAATTTACATCATGATAAATCTACAATTTTAGGATTAAGTCTATTAATAGAGTAGTAATATAGAAGTAGACCAAATTCTACAACCGCACAAATTCAACTAATTATGTGTGGGGAAAATTCTCTTTATGACTAGAATGCAAGAACGTGTCTTTGTGCAGTTTCTAATTGATCATTTTCACCTATCCCAAGCAGAGAATGGTTATATCAACTTTTGTCATCCCATTGACTCACATTGTCTGAACTTCCTGTGAACCTACACAGACTGTTACCTTGGTTGTCAGACAGGGCGTCGGCCTCGTGGTTTGCAAAAAATATTGATTTTCGTCACTGTCCATATCAATACCCTGCTAACATCATAGCAGGGTTAAAACAGTTTAAATGTGTTTGGCTGGTTGGTTTTTTAGTTTGACTCGTTCTTAAGTGATGTAATCTCTAACCTCATACGAAAGCCTCCCATTTTTCCGGACATGTTTCCGGGCAAAAGCTTAAGTTGGTTGCACGCTAAGTCAGAGACAGAACATGTTTATTTGCAAAGCCATTAGTTGGGCTACAGATACGGCCCAATAATCTCAATGACCTATATGAGTCAAAGGGAATGTGTGTAAATAAAGTAATCTAGGATTTTATGACCTCAAAGCTCTCTTAAATGCTAGTTATTTTAAAAAAACTGTGAACGTCTATCGATAATCAATCAAGACAAGGCTTCGTACATGGTTTAGGGTGTAGCTAACCTTCAGCTACTTATGACGATATCATTGTGTATCAGCATTCATAAAGTCTATGAGATAGTAAGATGGTCCATAGAAAAAGTTGACTATTACTTTTAGTACTAGACGTAACTTGTTGTAAGGATATGTCCACAATCTCCGG